ATTGTCAGTGCTGTGGTGATAAATGCAGATGAAATTGTGATTTAATTTCATTGAAAAATGTGGACTTGTATGTGCTAATGTGCATATATGTGTATATAGCACGTTTGTCCTGCTGACAAACGAGTCTGAGAACAGTACGAGTGAATGGTTAAAATTTTTTAACAAAGCAGTAAAAAGTATAAAACATAACATCGTATACAACAGGTTTTTTTTTTTCAATCATGAACCACCTTTTCTTTCAGTCTAAGTCAGGGGTCTCCAACCTCGTTCTCCAAGAGCTACTTTAACAAAATAAAAATGGCTAAAAGATGCTTATTTGTGTTGAACATTTACAATGTCACTGTTGACATGTCACATTTTTTATTAAAACATCACCAAAGTATAATTATTATTAATGTTATTGTTTGGCTGCGTGGCAGTCCTCAAAAATGTGTGTATTCAATGCCCAGTATTGTTCCTCCATTTTGTCCAAATAACCTGTTTTAATTTTTAATTTTATTTTCTGCAGAATGTCGCCGTCTTGTGGCCACAAGTAGCACAACAAGCTAAAGTTAAGTTCGCAACCACACAGCGTCAATGCTGCGTTTATATATACAGTATATGACTATTACCAAACACTTGTAGAATGCAGTCAGTTGTGCTACTTGTGGCCACAAGACGGCGACATTCTGCAGAAAATAAATTAATAATTAAAAATAGCTTATTTAGTCAACGTTTTAAAAATGCAAAAGAGACCACTATTAAACCCGGGTTTCTTCACTAATTCTCTTACCACCAGATCAGGTATCACTTCATTAAGTCATTATAGAATTATCAAAATAATTAAATGAGTAAAATGTAACTCTTTTGTGTGTTTTTCATACTTTCCTTTGCACTCATGTAATTTGTAACACAACTGGACACCCCCCAACATCATATTTTGTTTAGTCAGAAATTAACTAAAAACAACAGTTTGTGAAAAAAATATAAACTCTTTTGAGAAACAGAGGAAAGTCTTGGACAGTTTTTATTTTACTTGATTTGAACATTAAAAAGTATAAAAAATAACCTCGTATACAACAGTTTTTTTTCAATCATGAGCCACCTTTTCTTTCAGGCTAAGTCAGGGGTCTCCAACCTCTCGTTCTCCAAGAGCTACTTTTACAAAATAAAAATGGCTAAAAGCTACTTATTTTTGTGTTGAACATTTACAATGTCACTGCAGTCAGTTGTGCTACTTGTGGCCACAAGACGGCGACATTCTGCAGAAAATAATTAATAATTAAAAATAGCTTATTTAGTCAACGTTTTAAAAATGCAAAAGAGACCACTATTAAACCCGGGTTTCTTCACTAATTCTCTTACCACCAGATCAGGTATCACTTCATTAAGTCATTATAGAATTATCAAAATAATTAAATGAGTAAAATGTAACTCTTTTGTGTGTTTTTCATACTTTCCTTTGCACTCATGTAATTTGTGACACAACACCCCCATCATCTATTTGTTTAGTCAAAAATGGACTAAAAAAACCTGTTTGTGAAAAAAATATAAACTCTTTTGAGGAACAGAGGAAAGACTTGGAGAGTTTTGATTTGACTGGTTTGAGAATTTGCTATTCTGCTGTTAAACTTTATTATAAATTAAAAGTAACAAAAAATAAATTAAAACAAAGTGACAAAATATAAATAATATTCTCTAGTTATTTTTTGTGTTATTGCCAACATTGTTCCTGAAATGACTGCTCTGTGGTCAGTAAGTTTTGTCTATTGAATCCCCTGTTGGTTAATCATAAATAAATATAAATATAAATGTTAGATTCATTAGCCTTTAGAGCTACTTGGAAAAGGGCGGCACGTTGGAGACCCCTGTGTGCTGGCACTAACGTGCTGTAATATGTATTTTCCGTGAAGTACCGTGAACAATTTTGTTACAAAATAAAGTATTTACAGGACAAACATTAATGCTGGACTTAAACTTTTCCACAGATTAAAATACTAAATGTGTTTGGGCCAGTGCTTTTGGTTTTATGTGTGTTTTTTAAAAACGCACAGTCGTGACCTGAACGCCGTCAGAGTCTCATCTTCCGTTCTGTAGAGTCGTGCTGGTCGAGGAGACGTTGCTGATGTCGTTGGTGTTTCCCGCCGATCGACTCTTCTTGATCCCCGTCTGGTCTGACGTTATCCCCTCGAAGAGCTTGGCCATGAAGGCCAGGCCGTTCTTCTTTATGTAGGATTTTCCGGCAAATGTGTAGAGCACAGGGTTAGCACAGCTGCTGATGAAGGCCAGAGCTGAGGTGACCGCACGGCTGGACTGATAGATGCGCTCCAAGCTGAGGAGAGACATAGAAACAATGAGGACGGCTGTCAGTCAATCTGTCGGGGTCTTTCAGGGATTATAACAATGGGATTTTCATAAATTCTGATCAATTTTTGGTTGATTATGACGTTCAGGTGCATTTCAGCAGAAGTTGACAGACTTTAAACTTGAACGTGTTTCTGCAGATATTTTGTTGATGAACTTTAACTTGTCAGTTCATGGATCTAAGATCAGACTGTGTTTGTCATGTGATGTTAAAGTTAAAGGACTGTATGTCGTCTCTGCTCTGATGTTCATCATCAATCCACTCACACTTCTCTGGTGGAAGAATTTTCTGGATACCACTCTGCTGCAACCTGGGAAACAAAAAAAAAACCCGTTTTTACTCCAGTTATTCCATCACTGAGTCGTGGTGACCGCTCGCCGTCACACACCTGTATCATGTTGATGATGTGGTACGGCAGCCAGAAGAGGCCGAACATGACCACGATGGTCAGGATGAGCTTCTCGCTGCGGATCCTCCTCTGGAACTTGGTCTGCCTGATGCGTCTGAGGATGAGGACGTAGCTGGTTATGATGATGGCGTAAGGAAGGATGAATCCTGACACCGTCTCCAGGGTGTACTGGAAGCGTACCTGCGCAGGGAGGGGAAAAAAAAAAGTTGATAATTACACATACTTCAGTAGACATGAATGGATCTGTCACGACAAGGAGGAACGGGATGAGATCAGAGCAGAAATATTTTTCCTCTTCAGGGAATGATCTGCTTCCATTTTTACCAAAACGATAGAAGAAACAACAGAGTCTGACGATAATCTGATTAAATTAGAGCCAAAATCTGGGACTTTTCTGTTAAAGACAAAAGAGTTGCTGATGTGGGTCAAAGGTCAAGGTCAGAACTGCTGATGATTTTCTTTAAAAAAAACATTTGACCTTGACAACAGAGTATTACTGTGAAAAGAAAGAGGAAAACTTTCATGACTGTCTCTGGGCTGGATGGATGGATGGATGGATGGATGGATCCACCGTGGGCCACTGTTAATCACAGACATGGGTTCAACATTGAGGACAAAAATAAGGTTTTAGTTTTTCGCACTCACGTGACGAGCCAAGGTGTGGTTGGGCGCACACACCAGTCTGACTTTATTCCGTTCATCCTTGTCTATCCTCACGTCCCTGAAGACCAACGATGGGATGGCGATGACCATCACCAACAGCCACGTGACCGCAATCACCCTCCTCACAATCTTCTTGGTGGTGAGGAATTTCAGTCTCCTGGGGTAAACCACGGCCACCAGCCTGTGCACGCTCATCAGCGTGATCAGGAAGATGGAGGCGTACATGTTGGCGTTGCACAGGTAGAACAGGCCTTTGCACAGGACTGTCCCGAAGACCCACGACTGCATGGCCAGGTAGACGATGAAGAAGAGGGTGAGGATCATTAGGAAGCCGTCCGCAAACGCCAGATTGAGGATGAGGATGGTGGTGACTGAGCGTCGTCGGATGCGGGCCAGGATGCTCCAGACGATGAAGAAGTTTCCAGGAACTCCCAGGAGGAAGACCAGGCTGAGGATGAGGGCGCCGACGCTGGTGGAGAAGTCATTGCTCACCACGCTGTCACTCTCGTGGTTTGTGCTGTTGTCGGTGGGCAGCTGGGGGGCGGCAGTGACGTTGGTCATGCTGAAGGACGACAAAAGACGTCAACGACTACAGACTGGTTTCATGGACATTTATCCTCAGGAACATTGATCTTATTCAGGATTTCTTTTTTTGATGGATTTTGATAAAACTTTGACCTGAGGTCCGTTCTCACTTCTATTTCAGGCTAAAGTGAAAATACTTTCTCTCCATCCTCTTTTACTTTCCATCTTTCAGTCTCACAGACTTCACTGGAAATGGCCACAGCCCCGTCTACGATCACAGCATCAGCCGTAGCTCAGCGAGGCGGCGTGCTAAAACACGCCTGGCATCAGCAGATCTGCGTCAAACAATGATTTATTCTCTTCCTGTCGTCGGCTCGACAGAACAATGCACCACTGCACTGCTCTGTGTGTGTGTGTGTGTGTGTGTGTCAGGCATATGTGGAAATGAGCTCATCATCATCTCCATGGATGGACCTCTGGTTCTGCTCTTCTTTTCTGATCTGGTTTACGACATGAAGAGGGGAAACATTGTTGGACACTGGGTCAAATTCAATTATTCTTCTGACACCAGGGGGCGTTAAACTAATTTGAAACAACTCAGTGCAACTCTGCAGTACTTCCTGTGTTATCGCAGCTATCTGTGGGTTTGAAGCTCTCTCTCTTTCTTCCCCTTTTTGACGAAGTTCCACTAAGACTTTTATTTTTTAAAAAAAGCTCTTTTAATTGGCGTAAATGACAGAAATCAGATCAATTGACCCAAAAATATATATTTTTGACATGGCAAAAATAGAGGGAATTAACCAAAAATATAATGACCAGGGACCACGGCAGGAGCACAAAGCACATAAAATAATCTATGATACAACACTGCTGAAGCAGAAAACTTCAAATCGAGCAGAATTCAATTTAAATGCAGTTGTTCTGGAAGTAAATCAAATCAGTACAATTCACAGAAAATAAAGCTCTGCATATATATATATATATTTATAAATATATACTGTATATACTGTATATATATATGCACTAATATACTGTAGTATAATATGAATAAAACATTTAAAATATTTTTAAAACAAAAACTAAGTAACTAAATCAGATCAAATATTGGAAGGAAAAACATAATAATTAAGTTTTCTGTCTTTTTATTATATATTTATATATTTACCATCAGGGAAAATAACTTTAAATGTAAACAAAAACCTAGACCCAAATCTGGGATCACTTTCTCTCCTGCTGTTGTTTCATCATCACGACCTTCACCTTTTCTAACACCAGAAAATAACAATAATAAACAGAAAGTTCATTTCCTTGATGGACCTCCTCCTTCCTATAGACACTCAAATAAACAAGTCTCTCGTCTCCATGTTGAAGTACTTGTTCAGTGATAAAGTTGACCAACTGACCTGCTCCAGGATCTGATGTTCTGATGTCTCAGCGTCTCGGCGTCTCTGCTCTGTCCACCTCTGCCGTCCGTCCCACACTCTGTCATGTCTCTGGTCTTGCCCAATAATAAAGTGAATGACGTCCTGCCTCCTCACAGGCTGTGACACGCTGTAGTCAGAGGAGGGCAGAAACAGAGGCGTGTCCCCCCCACACACACACCCCTACACACACATGCTATAATATTGTGTTCCTCACATGTAAAACATAATACATCCCATAATGCAACATCCTGGCGATTCGTGTCCACTGACAATTCTTTGACATCTGTGAGGAAACAAGTGTTTCATAACCTGAGGTGAATCAGACGAGGGCAGGATCTGACACAGAGAGTGAAAACAGATCAAACCTCACACACACACACACACACGTTGATACAAGCCTGTGACACTCACAGGAATGCTAACACCTCCTGGTGGAGCAGCCCGAAACTGAAGGAGCGACGGACCTCCAACAGTACTGTTGCTGCAACTTTACTGTTGCTGGAACTTTACTGTTGCTGGAACTTTACTGTTGCTGCAACTTTACTGTTGCTGCAACTGTTCAGTTCAGTGACCGCTGACATAAAGTACTTTATACTGCATACAAAGTGTACCACAGTACTGCAGTACAAGGCCGTGGGTGTTTCGTTTTGGGTGTGGTAAAAAGAAATGATGATTTTCTGACTCATGATCACCTCCACTTCTTCATATCAGAATAAAAGCCTTCGTTTGAGTCGGACCAGGAGAAAAGATGTCAAATAAACACAAATATTCACAAACAACATTTTTCTTCCTCTTCATCTGTCTGTAACCACGTAGTTGTGGGTTTCCTCATCACTTCCTCATGGTCTGTAACGTGAGCTTCAGTGTACTCCTCACAGTACTCCTCACAGTACTCCTCACAGTACTCCTCACAGTACTCCTCACAGTACTCCTCACAGTACTCCTCACAGTCTCCTCGTACTCCTCACAGTACTCCTCACAGTACTCCTCACAGTACTCCTCACAGTACTCCTCACAGTACTCCTCCATCACATGATGACAACTTTTACTGTGATCTGTTTTATGGAGGTGTAAAAATGTCCATTTGTTTCTGTTTTTTCAACAAACCATAGAAGAAAAAATTCAGGTGAAATGAAACAGTCCAGAAAAGTGACTTCACCAAAGAAGAGAGAAAGTTAGAGATGACTTCAAGTTCAAACTCATCATCTTCCTCTCTCTGGTCACCGTTCACTAGGTTCTGACTCAGGAGGTAAAAATCCACAACCTCAGGCTCTGAAAGCAGGAGAATTGTTTTGTTTTTTCTTCCTAAAAGGAGAAGTTTCGCTTTTGAGGAAGATTACTGGAAAACACATTCCATTTGTTACCACACGAGGGCAGCACACTCACAAAAATGATATATCTGCCTTTTCCTCTGCTCCCCCTCCTCTTCAGTTCAGTGTTGCTCTCATCCATCACGCTGCAGAAACAAATCCTTTAAACAGTTGACTGGCTCTCCAGGTTCTCCTCTTCCTCCTCTTCCTCCTCTTCCTCCTCCTAAGGAGGATGTTCTTATATGAATTAAATGTCCCTAAACTTCTAACAGTCCTCAGTTTTCACCAGAGTGCGTTACACTTTCTTCCACTTCCACAAAGAAGTCAGGAAACTTCTCCAGTACGACTGTCTCAACGACCGACATTCCCAACAGAATTCCCGCTCCGAGATGTTTTGAAAACTCAGATCCGTGGGTCTTTATGTTAAAGTGTGGCTTTTCCAAAACAACCCTGTGGCCGACACACTGTGTATACATCCACGGGCCGTGAGCGCCAACTTTCTGTCACCTCCTTCTCTCTCTTCCCATTTCTTCTGACCTCCATCCCATAATAGGCTGCAGATGCGGCGACACATGTGCGTTGCTTTTTCAGATTTTTAAAAATCAAAATACGGATTCGACCGAATCCTTGAAGCCATCCTTGATCAAACAAACAGCGGTCACTTTATTAGACACACATGTTTAGCCGTTTGCTAATGCTACCATCTGCTCGGCCAATCACGTGTCAGATATTTGTGTGTCCAGACGTGTAGCCTGGTCAAGGGGATCTGCCGTGGTTCAAACAGAGCGTCAGAGTGGAGGAGAGGGCGACGGTTGTTGTTGTGAGTTTAGATTTCCTGGAGTTTTCCGGCACAGCCAACACTGTGGAATCCTCCTGGACGCACGGCAGCTCTGACCTTCCTCACCGAGGCTGCTGTCCTTGTGATCTGGGTGGCATGTGAGGAGGAGGAGGAGGAGGAAGGGGAGAGAGGAGAACCTGGTTTATAGTTTGGTTTTTCCAGATTTTTCCAAATTTGTCTCAATATATTTCATGAAGCTACAAAAAAAAAACTCATTATATTGTTTCAATATCCTTTATCCTATAGTATTGCAGTATATGGCAGTATACCCCCCCATTTACCCCAAAAAAACACCTTTGGTGGAAAACTGCGGTTCATGTGTCGTGAGAGCTGATCTCCTCCCAGGTGTCTGTCGTTGAAGGTTTGCACAAACTTCACGATTTTGCTCCAAGTATTGATTTCCTCGTCTTTGATGCATTTGTTATAGTGGAAACCAGTGAGGAACCACAACAACATTCCCAGAAAAGCTCAGATTTCCGTTTCCCCCTCAACCACTGGTATTTAAACATCGTCCCCGTTTGGAGCCGTGTTGGGAGTTCAGTTCCGACGGCGGCCGTCATTTTGTCAGCTCTGGTTTCAGGCCTCCAGTCTTTGCCCCCGGTTCCATTTTTTTCCTCTTTCCGACCACACTGTAACATGTTGAGAGCGGTCCAGGACCCCGGGCAGGCCCGCACCCCCCCGAGGGGGCGACGGGGAGAGGGAAACCAGCCCCCAGCCTCACTGTACAACACACACCGGCTCTGCCTGATGGTTGTGAGAACCAGAGGAGGAAGAGGAGGAGGGAGGAGGAAGGAGGACAGAGGGAAGAGCTGAGAAGAGGAGTAGGAGGAGGAGGGGGAGATGAGGGGGGGCAGGGGGAGGAATATGGAGTAGAGAGAGCCAGAGAGAGTGTGTTTATTTAAGTTTTTGGTCTCCTGACTCAGACAGAGAGCAGACTACAGAGGATAATGAGAAACAGATCTGTGGGGAGGGAGAGAACGGAGGGAGGGGAGGAGGAAGAGAGGAAGAAGGAGGAGGAGGAGGAGGAGGGGTGAAGAAGAAGAATAAAGGGGAGGAGAAAGAAGAAGTGGAGAGGGGGCAGGAGGGCTGGGGTTGGGAGAGGGGTCGTGTGTTTGTCGCCACAGGAAGTAGTTGCTGTTGCGTTGAGTGAGCGACAGTTAACATCACCGCCCTGGTGGTCAAACTGACGGGGCATTTAATGGCAGCGTGTAGAGCTGAGAGCTGCTCATGATGGGAATAATAATCACACGAGGATGGAAGGAAATGTTGATGAGAGAAGAGGAGAGACAGTGGAGGAAACAAGAGCAGAAATGATGATGGAGGGAGGGAGGGGGAGGAAGGGAGGGAGATGGCTCTGAAAGAATAACCTCCAGAGTGAGCGAAGGAGAGAGGGGGAGTGAGCAGGGGGCAGAGGAAGGAGGGATGGAAGGAGGTGGGCAGGGGAGGATGACTGACAGGGCGAGGGTCCAATGGGAGAGGAGCAGCGGATCAACTGGAGTTGGGAAACCCACCCAAAGGCAATTAAGGGTAAAGGACGACAAAAATATCTGATCAACTTTTTCCTCCGTCAGTGTTTTTCTCTCTCTACTGTAGGTGACGCTGCAGGGATGGAGCCCAGAGGAAGAAGCCCCCTCTCCCCGGGAACTATACTTTGGAGAGGACTCTGAGGGCAGAGATCCGGAGCTGGACTTGCCTTGAAGTTCATCCAGTCTGGAAAAGTTTCAAGGATCCGATCGAGACGCGCAGGCACCGTCGTGTGCGTGGAAGCGGCGTGGAAAAGTTCGACCCAGACCCTTTCCTGGCGCGGGGATGGTTTGCGCAATGACGCACAAAGAGACGAGATAGATCTTTTTATTTTTAAATATTTTCTGAGCAATCTGAAGTGACAGGAGAAGATAAGATCGTATCTCAGTGTCCGGGTTCCGTCACTGGTGCCGGAAGGCGATGGGGGCCGCGCCGGGCCCGGGCTGGGAGGAGGGCGAGTTCGAGTTCAAGTTAGTGTTCGAAGAGGATCCGCCGCCGCGGCAGAACCGGGGACCAGAGCCGGTGCGGACAGTGGAACAGGAGAGTCCCGGAGCCGGGGAGGAGACTGAGGGAGTCCTGCAGCAGCTGGACTCCTGCACCGGCGGTGGAGACGGGAACGGCAGCTGCAGCCTGGGTCAGGGTAGGTTCTTCTTGGAGTGTTGAAGTGCATGGGAACCTCCATGGGAACATGGACGGTGCGTATGGAAGCGTGGATAATATTGCATCATGGGAAATGTGTGTGGGTTTGTATTTGACTCTTCTAGAACTTGGTTCTAACAACGCAGATCCTCATCTCAGAGGCCTGAACTACAGGTAGAGAGAACGGAGGGCAGCAACACTGCCCCCTACTGTATTTTCTCTCTTTTTTAATACCCTTGTTCCACAAATGAGTTTCTGAGAGTAGGAAGTGGGGGGAAGTGGGGGGAGGGGGGCAGCTCGTTTATTCAACTGTTAAACTGTACCTGCATCACAGCCAATTAAATGAAGCAGTTCCCAAAGGTGGGGGCGGGCCCCTCTTGGGAGGCGTGAAGCTAATGCCAGGGAGGGGAGGGAGATTTACATTTTTAATATTTTGTCTTTGTTTATTGCTGGGCGACGGGGGGTCTACATCAAGGATGCTGGGATCCAGGGCAGGTAGCTTCACCTACGTTGGTTCTGTCGTGACCAACTCTGGGCTCAGACCTGCTGGGTGTGTTAAATGTTCTCTGTGAAGAAGGTATTGAGGGAAACACATGAACAGACTTCAGAGATGAAGGCTGCAGGAGGAAGTACTGTAATATTTTATGGCAACAACTTGACGAACTGTTCCTTTAAATCTGTCGTCGTTACGTCGACTGTCAGAGCACGGTCAGAGTTGGAGCTCAGCCTCCAAAATGAATGGAAATGGATGCAAAATCCAAACAACGATGGCTGCACAAACTTTTGTTTGTGTGTGTGTGTGTGTGTGTGCGTGTGTGCGACAAAACTTTTGGAGGATTGAGGTTGAGTGCAGTACACAGAGGTTGAGGTTCCTACCCCAGATGGCAGCTGTTAACTCCACTCACACGCACAGCTGATTAGAAACACATTGAGTCTGGGGCTGCACGCACACAACACACACACATCACACACACAACACACACACATCACACACACAACACACACACAAACAAACACACGCACGCACATGAAAATGCACCAAGCAAGAAAAATGCACACGGTGAGATGCACAAAACAAACAGGAAAAATATACTTTTACACACACACACACACACACACACACACCTCGTGTCCTCACATCCACCCTCGTTTGTTTCCCACCCACCCTGGCACACAGAACACCCCCACCCAGCAGGACATGGGGCTGTTTTCCTGGTACTGATATGAAGTGTATCAGTTATACTATATTTAACACCTGGATCACTCCATGTGATCATATGATGTGTGACATCCTCTGGTGTCTCCTCATCATCATCATCATCCTCCTCCTCCTCCTCCTTCTTCTTCTTCTTCTTCTTCTCGTCCTCAGATCTGCTCATTTCAACTCCTGGTCCGACCTCATCATCTTCATCATCTTCATCATCTTCATCTTCACCTCCTCCAGTGTTACACTCAGAAATGACTAACAAATAGAACAAAAACCCTAAACATTAGCCACAAAATTTCATGCAAATGAGTAAAAAAAAAGAAGGTAAATTAGCCCAGAAAAAAAAACTCAAATAAAGTAAATAAATAAATAAAAATAAACAGCTAAGAAATCAACCAGAAGATAACAAACAAACAAACACGATCCCAGGAACTGAAGTTAGTCAGAAATATAAACCCATAAATTGGTCTGGAAATAAATCTCAGTTGTTGTGATGTTACGTCTGTACATCTTTGTGTCAGATCATTTTTAATCCACAACAGCATGAGAACATGCCCCCCCCCCACACACACACCCCCCCTCCTGGCAGCGAGCCCTGACTTAATGGATATAATCTATAGCAGAGTCCCCCAAAATTTTAAAAACAACAGCGAGAAAAAACAAAACACGTTTGATGTGGCGCCGTCACGTCACGGTTGTTGATGCCTGCGCGGCTTCGTGAGGTCGAGATGAAATGAAAAGGAGAGCGGAGGAAGACGTTGGACCAAAGAAATGAGTTTCAGTCCCAGTCAGTGTCTCGGTTGGACGGTGGAGGTGGAGTTCAGTAACTCTGTGTTTACTCCAAAGATCTGAGCACTTGGACAAACTCAGCGTGTTCCTTCCAGTCGTCTTCACATGACGCAGGACTCAGAATAGGAAACATGTTGTTTCTTCACTCGGACTTTTCTCTCGTGCGACTGAGGCTGAAACCTGGACTTTTCAGATTTAATCACCTTCACATTTATCACTTTGGTGAATTAAACCTAAAAAAACCCAGAGGAAATCTGAAACGACCTTACAGTGAGCCGGTCAAAGGTTTGAAGTCCATGTGTTCCAGCTTCTTTCCCACAATCTGTATGTTGTACCACACTGACCAATGAGGCTGGTAATGGGACTATAGTTGATCCCTGCCCCCCATTTTGAGAACCACTGCTTTAAGCTCACTTGGAGCTCCTGTGCAGGTCAAAAGAAAAGAAAAAAGACTGGATTAAAAGATGCTGCTGGAGCTGCAGTTCCTCACACCACCAACAGGATAGGTCCCAGTCCAGTCCATACAGTACAGCGGTGGATGAATGGGTGCCATTCACTGGTTGAGACATTCGTCTTCTTTGGGGTTCACTTCAGGACACATAATAAAACCTGAGCCCTGACTGGAGCTGTGAGATTCCAGATTAGACTTTTATAGTCTCTAATAGGTGTTTAGGTAACTTTTCTTGGCTCATGAAGCCCTCTGCTGGTCGACTCACAATCTTCTGAATCTGTGTTTCCAGTGAAAAGCCGTCCACCAGCACGAGACTTACCTCAGCGCCGCAGCTTTAATCACTTTGGAAATATTATTGTTGCCAGGAAACATTTGAGGAGATTTTTCACTCTCGAGTCTTGGTTTGTTGGCAGCTGCCGTCGTTGACTCCATGTTGACCAATGATTGCCTGCCTGGTGGCGTGCCGCCACTGCAGCGCAACAATGACCGAGTGGAGCCTCGCTCGTTACAGCGTGACTACTGTTTGGCTCCCCGTGAAGCCAGGAGGAAACCAGGAGGGGGCGTGGGGGTGTGGGGGCTGTGGCTCCGGGGGTCGCCGCGTCCCCGTCCTTGTTCGTTGTGGAGTCTGGACTGTGATCTCTGCTGGTGTAAGATCTGGATCAGCGAGGTCGGAGTAAACTTAATGATTTGGTTACATTTCTGCTTTAAAGAAAAAACGGCCGGGGGCTTTGTTAGTAAATCATTCTCATATGACTGCGGTAAAATGGATGGTGGACTGAAATACTTTATTATTTCAGTAAAGCCAAGTTCTGCAGACATATATCTGAATGACTTTAATGGTGTTTTTTTTTAGACAAAGAAAAAAACATGAATGAGGTTCAAATGTTGTTGTTTTTTTTAAATCAGTTTCAGATTCCTCACCTCAACTATTTACTTCACAGAACATCAGAAAACTTGGCCACATGGTGGCAGAGTGGTTACCATAATCACCCAAAGTGAAAAGGTCAATGGTCTGAGTCCAGGAAGTTTGTACTTCTATAATAAACACAGTGGGGCAGGAGTGGGGGGGTCCGGGGGGGGGTTAAAGGTGGAACATTCTGTTCAAATTAGATTTTTTTTTGTACCTTTCCATATTTCTGTTGTAATTTACTTTTTAACGTTAACAGTAACAAAAAATGAATTTCTTCACTGTCTGAGAAATAAAAAAGTCAGTTCAAACCCATCAAATCAGGGAAAAGTGATATTTTTCCTTGACATCTCACCAGTTTTCATGATGCCAGATGAAAAAACAGTGAGCTGTCGTCAACTTGTTCTGAAGGAAAAGATCACTGTGAGGTCACGTGACCATCGGACCCCAACGTGTGTCAGAGAAGGTTCATTTTAGTTTCTGGACCGTACCCCAGAAAAAATAAAACACGCTGCCCATAAAAGTCAATATTAGGGAAATGAACTCAGATCTTTATTAGCAGCAGCTGAAGAAAACAAACATACATATATATAAAACAAAGTTTCTTCAGAAAAGTCAACTAAAGCTTCTGGAGGACGCCTTTGTGTGTTTTCAGTTTTTTTTTTCCTAAATTTTTCTAAATCTCATTTTACAGTGTCAGAAGTTGCCAAATGAAATCACAGCCTTGTTTGTTTGTTTCCAGTCACAGACAACCACTTGGCTGCCACCCATGCAGCCCACTCCATCAGCATCCCCAGCCCGCCTCCCTCAGCCAGTCAGCGGGCTGGGATGCACTCTCCGCCTCCGCGACGGGCTCCGGTCAGAGAGTTCAGCGGAACTTACGAGAGTCTGCCAGCACGGTCGGTGCAGGTAAGAAGAACCGATGTGTGTGCTCATTAGTTCTGTTTCATTCTTCAAACGCTGTTTTCAAAAAGGTGGTGCACTTTCCAAAACTGGTCCGCACCGTCCCATCTGGAGGGATTTTCTGATTGGCTGTTGAAGACTGACACTTGAAAAGTGAGTTTTTTTAGATATAATATGTTACTGCTTTTGGTCTTTGTTCTCCTCAGGTTTCAGAGTCTCGTGTGGTGGAATGTCCCAGTATCCAGATCACCACCATCTCCCCTGAAGACGACCCTGCATCCAACGTCTCCAACTACTGGGACATGGGAGGTGGAGGAGGGTGGGACAGAGAACGCCTCTACCTCCCCCTGCTGGACCCTTTCACCTACCGTGACCGTTGTCCAGGTTCCCTCAGCCCCAGCCCCGCTTCCAGCCCCTCCTCCCGTGGCTGGCTGAGCCCCGCCTCCAGCTGCGACTCCCTGCTGGTGGAGGATGATGAGCTCAACGAGGCCGCCGTCCACTTCGGTCTCTCTCCGTCGTCCAGGCCTACGTCCCCTGGTGGTAAGAAACGCCGCAACTCCCCTCTGGCCTCTCCCTGTACCTCGCGGAGGAGCAGTTACTCAGAAGAACTGCAGGGGTGCAACCTGGAGGGCGGGGACTCCAGCCTGCAGACACAGGCTCCGCCCAGCAGCTGTGAGCTCAGCATCCCACAGAAAACAAGGAAGACCTCATTGGAACAGGTGAACGTGGAGGACAGTCAGGGTCTGTGGTCACGGCGGTGAAAAGGACTGAAGGTTCAAACCTCGCTTCTTCTCTTCCTCAGCTGTCTCCCAGGGAGGTGGATCAGGAGCAGGCTCCAGGCCACAGCTCCCCCTGCCCACTGCCTGAGGCCCAGCAGGTCAGGAGAGAGCCTCCTCCACTGGGCATGGACTACCTCTCTGTGCCCCCTGCCCTGGCCTGGGGCAGATCTCGAGCCAATGCCCACAGCCCGCTCTTCAGGTACTCACTCACACCTGTGTCTCCGTCCCGTCAAGTCAGCGGTCGGACTCGAGCGCGTGCTCTGAATAATCAGCAGCATCTGTGTGACCAGGTCTAACGCCCTGCCGCCCCTGGACTGGCCGCTGCCGTCCCAGTTTGACCAGTACGAGCTGCACATCGAGGTGCAGCCTCGTCCTCACCACAGAGCTCACTACGAGACGGAGGGCAGCAGAGGAGCTGTCAAGGCTGCACCCAGCGGACATCCAGTGGTCAAGGTGAGGCCCAGACCTGTGGGGGCAGCTGTGATGTGGGGGTGTCTCCCCCCTAACGTCTCTGTCCTCTGTCCTTACAGCTGAGTGGATACACAGACAGGAAACCTCTGTCTCTACAGGTGTTTGTTGGAACAGCTGACGACAGGTCCATCAGGCCCCACCCCTTCTATCAGATACACAGGTAATCCTAATCCTAATCTTCCAAGATTATATCTGTCACATCAGGAGACGTCTCCTCTGAAATCTGGGGGGAAAAAAACACAACAGAAATGTTCATTGTAAAAGGTGCAACGAGTCGTTATATGTTTGGAAAAAAATGTTAATTATTCTCTGATTCTGAAAATTATAATCCTGGATTTGGACTGTGTTTTTATTTATCAGTTTACTGAAAACATTTAGTAGGACTGAATGGTAGTAATTTTTTCATTTTATTGGACTTAACTGAAGACTAATTGGAAGGTTTTGAAATGTTTTTATATGAATGACAGAGCTGAAGTTCTTTTTAGATCAACCCTCACATTTAATTTTGAAATGTTTTTTATATGAATGACAGCTGACTTTGTCTATGTTTTTTTTTTAAAGTTCTTTTTAGATCAACCCTCACATTTTCAGTTCATTTTTGTCTTCAATAGTGTAGCATCAACTTTACCATTGAATTTACGACCGTTCAGTAGTAGAACTGCTCTGTCAGCTGATGTTTCTCTCCTGCAGAGTGACAGGGAAGATGGTTGGCACTGCCAGTCACGAGAGCGTCCAGGCTGGAACCAAGCTGCTGGACATTCCCCTCAACCCTGAGAACAACATGACTGCACTGTGAGCACCGAGCGCCGCCGTAGCCGTGACGTGCGTCCAGCTCTTCACTGACTTCTTCTTCTTCTGCTCGTTATCTCCAGCATCGACTGCGCTGGGATCCTGAAGCTGAGGAACTCAGACATTGAGCTGAGGAAAGGAGAGACAGACGTCGGCAGGAAGAACACCAGAGTCCGCTTGGTGTTTCGCACCCACCTTCCTCTAGCGCCCCCCGTGGGCCCGCCTGGCCGGGTTCTGGCTCTGCAGGTTGCTTCGTTGCCCATTGAATGCTGTGAGTCAGTGATTTTGACCAACCACAGTCCCCTGGTCTGTGAACCTTCCAAACCTTGGTTCAAAATGAAATCAAAACACCTCAAATTGACCAGATTATTTTTTCCCCTCTTCAGCCCAGCGTTCAGCTCAGGAGCTGCCCGTCATCGAGTCCGTCAGCCTCACTTCCTGCTCCGTGGAGGGTGGCGAGGAACTTCTGCTGAGCGGCACCAACTTCCTGCCCATCTCCAGAGTCCTGTTCATGGAGAGAGGGACAGGTAAACGTCCACTGTGGGATTTTAAAGGTCAAAGTTCAGATAAAAGAACAAATTTGAATTTAACGTCCTTGTCCAAGATGCTATCCTGTGCCTCCACTAGAGGGCGTTATAGAGTTGACAACAAACCCAATGTGTGACTAAATGTGAAGTGTGACACTGATCTTGTGCATGTGTGTGTGTGTGTGTGTGTGTGTGTGTGTGTAAGATGGTAAATTACAGTGGGAGGAAGAGGCTCATGTGGACCGTGAGCACAGTAACGAGGTAACTCAGTCCTGAACTACAGTCTCTACAACGTCACCGACTTTTCGTGAACAAATCCACACCTTTATCTTCTAGTGTCTGCTGCGGGTGAGAGTTCCAGCCTACAGCGACCTGTCCGTCAGTCGACCCATGTCTGTCAGTCTGTACGTCTCTAACGGGAAGAGGAAGAGAAGCAGCACTCACTGCTTCAAGTTTCTCCCCAGTGAGTGACGACGTCAATGAGCGATGTTTCTGTGACTTCTCTCACTTCAGATGAAAGAAATCATAATATTTTTTTTTTCTTTTTTCTGTAAAGTCATTTTTAAAGAGGAAGACCCTCTGTTGTCCAGACCCTCACTGCTGCCTCTGGACAGAGGGACCGTGTGTCCTGTGGAGGGTCAGCCCAGGATGGACCGAGGCTTCCACCCTGCAGCTGAAGACCGAGCTCTGGGCTTCCACCTGCCCCCTTACCCCACCACCTACTCTCCTCCCTGCCCCTCCATGAGCTACCAGGAGGAGTTCTGCTCCAAACCTGAGTCTGTTCCAGAGGAACCCGGAGGCTCCAGAGCAGCTCTCTCTGAACGTCACCCCAGCTTCGAGAACCTTGAGCTGGGCTTCACGGAGCTCCTTCCTCCCCTGTACCCCCGTGGTCCACAGCCCCCCTCCCCCCCCCCCCCCCCCTGGGGGGGGCGCCCCCCCCCCCCCCCCCCCCCCCCCCCCCTTACCCCACCACCTACTCTCCTCCCTGCCCCTCCATGAGCTACCAGGAGGAATTCTGCTCCAAACCTGAGTCTGTTCCAGAGGAACCCGGAGGCTCCAGAGCAGCTCTCTCTGAACGTCACCCCAGCTTCGAGAACCTTGAGCTGGGCTTCACGGAGCTCCTTCCTCCCCTGTACCCCCGTGGTCCACAGCCCCCCTCCCCGTCCCCTTCTCCGTGGCTGGACTCTCCCTACCTCTCCTCCTCACCCTCTCCTTCCCACTCCTCCTCTCTCAGTCCATTTCCAGCGGGCAGCCCCATCTCTAGCTCCCCTCTACCTCCTATACCTACCTCCCCTTACCCACACTACACCACTTACCCTCAGGAGGTGTGTCCGTCACCTCCCTCTCACCCCAGTGCCTACCAGGACATCTGCCCAGCACCTTACTCCCATTATGACGGCTGGGATCAACAGGGGAGGGAGATGGGAGTGGGACATGGAGGAGAGAGGGAGGTGAAGATGCAGGAATGTCCTTTGGACTTCACCAGCTCAGTGGCCATGCACCACATTACCTTTGAAGAAGGTGAGTGACCTCCAGGAGTTTAACATCCAGAGCCGTGAATGTGTGAGTGGAGAGATTTGTTGATTGATTGATTGATTTCAACCTTGATAACGACGTAAAACAGCTGACTAAGACTAGTGTTTGGATGGTTCGAGTCTCTCTCACCTGTGGATGATGGTTGTTGTGATATAAAAGACGACACTGAACGCTGGTTTCCTCTTGTTCTTCCACAGTTTCCGAGTACATCGGAGAGAACTTCCAGTCGTACCAGTCAGGCTCACAGATGGACAACCAGCCAAACTGAGGTCTCTCTCTCTCCTGTTGTAGGTCAGCAGCCATTTACACCCTCCGTGCACTCCAGTCTCTCTGTGACCCGTGATAGTCGACAGGGGAATTCAAATTACCAGGACACTGTTGTATTGATGACCACAAGTAACTGATACAGTTTCACAAAAGGGAAACTAATGTTTTCAATATAAATTATACAATAAACTGTTTAAATTTGTGGGGTTTTTTCATACTTGTTTACTAGAAAATCCAAATGAAACATGAGAAGATGTGATAAAAAGTTTGTACATTTTTGTAAATAGACATTTACATTTTTCAATGTAGCTTTATTGATGCAAAAAAAGTTCTCAGCATTTTTTCAAGATAATCGTTTATCAACAGGACAGGAACGAAAAAGGCTCAACCTTAGACAGAACTTAGAGTACTTATGAGTATTAAATATTTAAGTTTTTTAAAAGTTTTTTTTTTAATTTAAACATTACCTCGTAAATGAAGGCTGTGAGTGGTGGAGCAGTTTGACGTGTGTGAGCACGTCATTTGTTCGGTTTTATGATACAGAACAGTGCCCCCTGTAGGGGATTATGACCGTGGACACCTTAACTGCCTTATATCAGACTCGTGTCTGTACACACAGGTCTGACTTTCTTCTGTCTGCTGGTCTTCGCTCTGACAGAAACATTTCAGCAAAAGGCAGAAACGAAATCTCTCCATTCTTTATTCCTGAAACACGGACGGCCATAAAACCGTGGCGGCCTCACAAAAAGACACTAAAGCAGCATTCTCTGTTTTCCTGACAGTTTTATGAGTCTATATGCCTTAACACTGCCATATATGGGAATGTTTGGAGCTGAAGATCAAAAAAGTCCTGATGTAGTTGTCGTTTCTTCCTGGACGTCCTAAAAGATGAGCTTACCGTCAGAATGTCGTGGGGGAGCCGTAACTCCTCCACGACGCCGACGCTCTCGGCTCCGGCTGCTTTTGTCTTTGGCTGCAGTTCAGGAAACCTCACATGTGAGAAGTTCACAGTAGGTGAATGTTTATTGAGGTTTTCTCAATGTCCTCATCTGACTGAGCAGACAAAAGTTACATTTGAATAATTAATCAACTCGTAAAACTGAGGCTCAGCAAAACAAAGCTAACGAAAATAGTGTAGCAGTTAGCACGGCTAAAAGAGAACCAGGGATCGAACTGCTGACCCTCTGCAGAAATGATGGTTTCTATCCACTATTCCACAGTCTCTCATCTAATAATGTCCCATAATAAGACTAACCAGACATAGATTCATACTGAGAACAAGGGCAACAAGTTCAATAGCTGTCCAGTGCCAGAAGTGGGCATCGAACCACCACCCTTTGATTTGTAGGCACCCATAGACCACAGTCACCAGTGATTAAAATAAAGGTGTGGAAATCTCATTTGGAATCGAGCAGAGTGGAGTGGAACACAAGTGTTTCATTCAAAAGTTGCTGTAATAAAGTAACGTCCAGGAGGTGAATGTTTCTGGAGACACTTGATTTAATCCTGAAACTCTGGCTTTTATTGCTTTATTAGCTGAAACCCCAGTAGGAAAAAAGGAGTTGGTTCCCACTGAGCTCCTGGAGCAGTAATAAGAGCAGCCATGATGGAAGACGTGAGGTCAGGTTCTACATCACAGTCATTCAGAGGTGTTGGAATAAAAACTGTGACTGAATCACTGCTGTTTCTGTGTTGGACTTTTAACAACTCTGTAAAAATAATCACTAGTTCAACCTTTCTTTCTTTCTTACTTTTTTTTTTTGTCTACATAGTTTCCCAAATCTATGAATAGACCAATAAGGTCACTCTGACACGAAAGTGGAAAAAAAAGTCTAAGGCCTCCTCTGACTGGACAGTGTCAGCCTCAGGGACTTGTTTTTAAATTTATTTATCATGAACATTTATGAAATAATACAGATAATTCTGTTCCCAGCTTTTCTCTCGAGTTTTTTTTTTTTTTAATTTTAGCCAATCATATTTCAGCCTCATGTGTTGCCAGGGAAGAAGAAATCTGCCTTAAGGCCTTCAGAATCATTCGTCTAAAATAAATGCCGAGGATATTTTTTTAACCAATCAGATTAGGAGCTGTCATAAAACCGGCATATCTCGGCCGTCTACCTGGGCCTAGTTACGTTGACGATTTGAGTGATTTGATTGGATGTTCAAAGAACACACAGTCTTCAATCTAGCAAACAGCATCTAGCTACCTGCTCGAAAATAAAGTTCTCTCTGTGTCCACTGCTCCAGTGTCGAGCGGACACCATTTAAAATGTTTCCCATAAATACGACAGGACAGACTGGACTTTCAACGTCAACATGAAGGACGATAGAACGGAGCAGAAACTCACGGGTAATCTGTACAACAGTCATTGAACTCATCATCAGGAAGGAGATGAGGATGGATTTACTACTGCTCAGATGTTTTGGTGAGTAAACTGCCGTTTGTCCGTTTAAATAATATTGTAATTGTAATTTAAATAATATTTTATGTACAATGTGTCTTTTATGTACATTATATGTATTTTATTGCTTCGGTATTGGTGTTTTTATGGCTACATGATGTATCTATTCGAGGATATAACGACTGCAATAACGGAGATTCCCACAAGAGGGAGCTGAAAACTCAGGCATCCACTAGTACTGAATATACAGTATTTAGTCCGACAGTTTAAATGTCAGGGTCAGACAACAGCTGCTGACTGGACCCTAAAGAATATTCCACATTGGATAAGATGTAAAGACACACAGACTGTCCGACTGCAGCATCACAGTCACTGCCTGCTGTTGATGTGACTGTACACAGAACAGTGTAACATCTCATGTTGCTGTTGTTGTTGTGTTAGAACTTTCTCAAATACTGACTGAATTAAATCTGTAGGTTCATAACAGTGTGGGACACTCCCAACTGGTGGTCCAGCCCACATGGATACCACACTCCACTCTTCCTCCAACCCCTGCCCACATTCATTTGTGCGGTGTTTATACTATGCACAGACGTTTGTGTGTTGTTGAGGAAGAAAATGCTGTCAGTTAGCATTTCCTGACTTAAATTTAACATAATGTCACCTTGGTAAAACCTGAATATATTTGATTGTATCATTTTTGTCTGTAGGTGGCAGTGTACAGAGGTTTTTTTTAGATGCTAAACGGTTTTGGGTGAAGGTATTTGTTAATATTTTATATTTTAAAAACCCAAAGACGATCTAATTCACAGTTTGTCGAGCTGGAGAAAGGCTAAGATTTGGAACTACAAGATAAACTGTGGTTTGATAAAGACAGGAGTGGCTGAGGGGTATTTGATGGTGGTGCGAGATACTGTATGATTAGTGGAGAGATGACGTCACTGTTTGTGTGTTGTGTCCACACGTTCACAGCATCAGAACTCCTGTGGTCCCCGTCAGAGCAGCGTTCCCAGTCAGTCAGAGGTCACAGAGACACAGATGTGTTGATGTGAATTGGGACTAATAGGAAACAGCACAACTAAACAACTGAACAACTGAACAACTGAACAACTGAATGTGCTGTTGACAAACAGCTGTTTGTCATTGACTGAGTTGCTGTGAGAAGAGATGATGAAAGACGTGAGTCTGCAGCGCAGCAGACGGCTACTAGCTGTTTCTGGTGGCAAAATGAGGAAACACTGAAGGAATGTTTTGGCTTCTACCAACATCTCTGCACGTGTGTGTGTCTTTTGAAGACAGATTTGTATGTTTCGTGTTGCCTACTTGGAAGCATCAGAAAACCAACACATCTGCATCAGGACTAGAGTCATGATGCACTGTATCTCTGTGTATCTGTTGTGTCTGACGTACGAAAACTCTCGGTTTCAATAATACGAGTAGAGCAAACGAGATTAGAGTCTTACGCTGTTAGCGTCGCTAACATTCTACAAAACATATACAGTACAGTTCACAGTCTAATAGCAATAGAACAGGCCAGTTAAAGTCTCTCCTAACAAAATGGTGTCAGAGCAGTAGGTGTGGCCCAGAGCCACGGCTGCTACTTTTCCCGCGGCTGATGCTGCCGCCACCGCAACGCCCTCATTCTGGCAGCAACGCAACGGAAACATAATAAATAAATGTAGATCATATTGAACAGGAACACACACACATCTGTTTTCCATGTGGTTTTATTGAACCCCTGTGTTATCTCCTCCTACAACACTGATGTGGCGAGCATACATGAAACACAAGCAGTGAAATGAAAAAGATCTGTGTGTGTTTGTCGACATGTTTACTACACTCTGTTTGTGTGTCGTGTTTTTACAGCAGTGCTTTAAAACTCAACGACCCAAAAAGGGCAAAACAGAGGCTTTGATATTTGACGACACCAACACGTGAAACACACAAAAAAGAAGTTAGGAGTAAATAAGTGCACTTTTCCTCCAATTACATTATTTTTCACGTTCTTCCCACATTAAGGCTACATACAGTTAACACATATAGTTTTTATTAGTTATAGGATTGTAGCTTGCATATATGTATAGACATGGAGCCAAAGCTAAAGTAGCATTTATTTTAATATCATAAGAACTATCTCAGCTTAAACATCAGAGCTGCATCATGGACTGGAATTACTTGACACTCAAATACGAGCGACTTTTGGATGTTTGGTTTCATGTTATTGGATCATGTTTTCCTGACCACACACAGCTGTTTGTATTATTTTTACGTCACGTCCTTTAACTGCCAGGCATGTCTGGAAATCCCGTTAGCTTACTTTTTTTCTTTCTGTTTACTGTTTCTTATTTCTTATCCAATTATACCTGTTCTGCGTTTCTTATTTATCTTATATTTCTTATCCAATTATACCTGTTCTGACCTACTTCAGTGCATATGCATGACTACTTTAGCCATACCTTTAGTCAACATTTAGCTATTTCAGACTCAAAACCCAGTGGTTTACATTTAATCTCGTTTTATTTGTTCACTACGATGCCGAGCATTTGTGTGAGTCGTGTTTATAGTCTTTAATTTCATAAAACGAGCGGCTAACATTAGCGTCATTCAAGATTGTCAAACTTTAGCTTTATGCTAACAGGAACAACGACAAAACAACTTCTGTTTTTTGGAATTGATTTTTGGATATGTTTACACTTTATGTAACACCAGCATGTTTCAGAAATCACATTCAGCTCTGTAACAACATGATATTCAAGCTACTGCAATCCATGTTTGACACTGAAATGCTCCCTCACACCACTAGATGGCTCTCTTTGGGGAATACTGTTGTAAACAGAGCCACGGAGCCTGAACTTTGTTTTCTAACCTCTGTTAAGGCCATAACACAACAAGTATGCTTCACACAAAAAGTCAAATTGTCATTTTTTCTAATGAAACTTGGGGCCAAAAATAATTCAAAATTTGAAGACTTGGTTTTAGCAAATACTCACTGGTGAAACAGATTTGGTCAGGGATGAAGTGGGGAGTTCAAACTTAGACCACCTGGGCAGATGGTGTCAGCACGGCGTGCCAACAGATCTGTGCAGACGTCGCACCAGACCGTTTGTTCCAAGGGAAACTAAAACTAAGCAAAACGTGGAGGTAGGAAAAGTTTGACAGCTCCAGGGGAGCAATGCTGTAACAGGAGGAGGACTGAAGTGGACCAGAACCAGAACCACGTCCTCGTTCTCACTCATCTAGGTCATCTTCATTGCCAAACGTTTAGGTGTGGGTTAAAGGGTGTTGCTTGAATTTCTTGAAGATCTTTTAACTGGTTCAGAGGTGAAAGAACCTCTTAGATGAGACGTGAAACATCTCCAGAAAAACTCAAGACTTTAAGGTCTTCTTGAAAAGGGACAACTGAGGTTCTAATGTTTGGTTTTGGTTTTTGGTTCTTTTTTTGCTTTGGTTCTATTAAAAGACATTACACGTGACAGCGCCCACAGATTAGGTCACATGCTTTTTTTAGATTTTCTGTGCCTATTACGAGACACCAACACACCCACTGAGGTCACTGGTATTTGCCTGCATTTGACAGCAGCTCTGACAGCTTCTAGAAATAAAATAAAAAATGCCAAATTCAGTTTTGTTTTGTTTTTTAGAGCATACTGCTGGCCTTCAATAAGCTACTTCTTTTACTCAGGCGCTAACAAACACCAGGCGGGTGGAGTAGATGAGGTCGACCAGGTAGAGGATGAAGTTGACACCGGTGAGCACCGCCACCGTCATCGCCTTATCCCAGACACACAGGCCCAACGTGCTGGAGCAGTTGTACGGCCGATTTTTGTTTCCGCCGTGCTTGGGGTCAAAGTTGTAGATGGGCCAGAGGATGGTGGCTAACAGGTACAGGACAACGGCCAGCATAGCGTAGGAGGACAGGAGACGGGCAAACGGAAAGGGGAGGCACCCGGTGCATTCGCCGATGCAGAGCAGGATGATGACCGCTGAGATGATGAAACAGATGCAGTAGACGGCCATGCAGAACTTGAGTGCCTCGTGATTGTCGTACAACACCGGGTCGTTGATGAAGACAAAGATGATACAAGCCACGAAGGTCTCACACACCTTCAGAAGTCCTGGAGCCGTGGCCATGTAACCGGCGACCTCGCCTGGACGAGCCTTGCTGATGCTGACCTCGCAGATGTAGGCTATAGCAGCCAGGAGGGAGAAAACGGTGGAGACGATGCGATAGTCACGGGTCTCACTGGGGCCCAGGTTTCCCTTCAGGAAGTAAAGCGGGAAGATGACCAGAGCGAAGAGGCAGAGCAGGGCGGCATAGCAGGCAAATGTGATTGGGAAGTTCTTCCAGGAGACGGGGGCTCTGGTCTGAAGGCCAAACAGCTCCACCAGGAGGACGAGCAGAGTTCCTGCGAAGCTGAAGGTCCAGCAGAAGAGGCAGAAGTCGCCGGTGCCACCGTGGAGTCTGCCGCCGTGCACAGCCACAGAGAAGGCTATGCAGGTGAAGACCAGAGCTGCCAGCCGGGCCCAGAGCAGAGGAGTGGACTGTAGCACGATCGCCATGATTGAAGATTGACTCTGTAGGGGAAGACGGAGAAAGACTTCCTTTAAAATAAAATCCATACTTCCAGATACAAAAATGTAGCCAAACTCTCAGTTTTCACTTTTGTGCAGCGTCCCTGACCTTGTGCTGGACTATTAAACAGCCTGCACCACATTAGACCAACAGCTTGTATGTTCTCTTTGTTTGGCAGTTTACTCCTGCACTCCCTGTTCAGACACACAGTGCTGTCATTGTACTTCTCTGAATGGTTGAAAAAGGAATGAAACCATGAAAAGACAATTTTCAGACCTCACATAAAGAGTGCACTGTGGTCGCTGCACATTTACATCAGGTCACAGCTGCTGGTAAACACTCAGAAATGTTTCTGCCTTCTATCAGACTGTAGACGATACCTTCTCAGCGGCGTTCCTGCTCAGGCTGCTTCCACTCTGAAAATCCTTCCTGCATTAAAGGCTGAGACATGTCCATGATGGGGTGTGGCCCCCACCAAGCCCCCACAGACCCTGCGTGAGTCGGAGCATCTGTCATTGGGATCGTAAAATCGTCCATCCTCACGCCTCTTGAACTCTAAACAAAAATCTGAACCATTTACGAAGCCAAGCCGTGAAGTTTTAACTCTTTAGTCGACCGTAACGACCGCCTGCCCATGTCTGTTTGGCTGCCTTCAAAGGCCGGAGGACTTGGACTACAGCGGTGACTTAAGTGAGGTCAGAATGATGACTTGAAGAGTTTACAGAAAATAACTCTTCTGGTTTAGGATGAAACTGAAAGTCTGACAAAGTCTGGCCTTTACATTAACTCACCAGTCAGTGAAGACCAACGTTTAGGTTCTAACTGAAACTTAGAACTTAAAAAGTGATTTTATACAATGATATAGACAGTAGTGGCGACTCCCTGATGTCGATTTGCTCAAAATCTTCTCAAATGTTGAGAGGTCATGACCTTTTCATGACTCTGATGTTCCACCAGGCAGCTCCACTGTTACGCACCGCAACTCTGGATCAGCCAGAAGAACCAGAACCAGAACCAGAACCAGAACCAGAACCAGACATGTTACTGTGCAGAAATGTTCTTCCTCCCACCTCTTCTGGTGGCCACGCCCACTTGGCTGTATGTGCGGTGTGTGTGTGTTTACACAGAGAGACAGTTTTAAACAGGCAGAAATGGACAGTTTACATTAGTCCCATTAAACACCTCTGGCGCCCCCCAGCTGTAGGGGCGAGGGGAGGGGCTGAGGTGTCATGATCCAAATGTCATGATCCAGCATAGAACAAAGGCAGAAGTTGGAAGAGAGAGAGATGTTCCAGAACATGGGGAACATGGGTAAGACAGGAGGGAGGACCATGGGGAAGCCCGTGCCTGGGCCACAGAAGGACACAGCGTTTACACACAGTGATGGAGTGGAATGGCAAACGTGTGAGTCACCAGTGGGGGCCCCTCTCTTTCACCACCCCTTTTCTTTCCCTGGCTCTCTGCACCTCCCCCTGCTTCTCCTCTCTCCTACTCCCTTGTAAGATTTTCCAGCCTCCTGATGTTTTCCAGATGTGTCACCGTCTGGCTG